TGAAGGCCCATCATAACCATCTGCTCCCCGTCCAGGTTCCTGCTGTAAAGGGAACTCTGTCTGAGAAGGTGGCGCTCAGGCCCAGGTCTGGCACTGCTCCCGGGAACTCCAGAGGCAAGCGGTGCCCTGGGCCTCAGCGTTCTCATCCGAATAGAGAATTTCATTCAGAGAAGCTTTGGCTGAACGATGAGGACACTGGCTGGGCTGCCTCAGCCCCCGTCTGATCCGACAGAAACTTTTTAACCTTCAAGAATGTCAGCCGTTATCTCTGGAGTTTCCCTATTAGTTTTATAATCAACTTCACTGACCAACTAAGAATTGATATTCAGCCCAAGTACAATCCTGTCAAACCGCATGGTTTTAACTCTTGGGCTGACTGCTTGTCCTGTGCTATTCCAGGTGAGCTCCGACCAGCGTGGCCCCGGCCGTGTTGGCCGAGTTGGCCTTCTAGGACGCACAGAGACCTTGGCAGTGAGCGGCGGGAGTGCTCTGTCACACCAGCCACGCGGCGAGCAGGAGCCAGACGCACTCAGGCTGGTTTCGTGGATGCAGACCTTCTGGGAGCTTCATCCCTGCCCAGAGCGCGGGGGCAGCGCAGGGTGGGTGTGCGTCCAGCGTGCAGGTGGAGGAGGGATGTGGCCAGTGCGCGGGGGCAGCTCCGTGTGACCCAGGTAGGCTCCCCGGGCTGTGTGTGGTCCTCTCTGTCGGTCCCACACCACGGCCCACGTGCTTCCTTCTGCCTGAGAGGACTCATTTCCATTTTCTAGAGCAGAAGTGGCTTCCACTGTCGTGCCGTTGGCGTGGGGTGGGTGGACGGGCCCACTGCTGCGTCGCCTTGCTCACAGGAGCAAGACCTGAGCGTCCAGGCTGCCTCACCGTGTCCTCGGGAGGCCAGTCTGTCCTCCTCTGCCCCCTCCTGAGACCTGGGTAGGGGGACAGCCGAGGCAGGATGTCCTCGTGTAGCCCGGGGACTGATGTCCATGCTGAAGCTCACCCTGTCATGTCTGTCAGAGTCGGGCAGGTGCTTTGGACCTGGGGACCCGAGGCGGGGCAGAGAGGTGGCCTTGGGTATGCGGAATCATGTCGGCGGCTCTTTAACTCATTACTTTGCCCTCCAGGTGGGTCTCTCCGAGCCCCTTTCATGAGCTGTACACCCTCCATCTGAAGGCACAGCTCTTGGTTGTGGGTGCCCATGGTCAGCTGGAAAAGACCCCAGGGGAGCAAACACAATGAAACTCCACACGGGATGTCGCAGTGGACGACGTGGCCCCGTGGACATGGCCCCATGGACGTGGTGTGGCCCACGGGCCACGCACTCCCCATTCTCTTACTCACTAGGCCCACGGCCGTCCTTCTCTAACTGGTCTTGGGTGTTTACAGTGTGTGTTTTACAGCTGCAGAAACCCAGAGTCAAAGTGGGACGCACACCTTGGCCTGTGTGATCCCGCAGTGCTTGCTCTTGTGGGCCTGTGGTCATGATGGATACAGAGTGGAGATGCTGGACCACAGGGGAGGGCGATGGTATCGCAGCCCCAAGACCTAGTGAATGGACATCTGAGCTGGGTATTGAAGGGTGAGTAGGAGTTGTCAAGGTGTGAGTTTGGGGCAGAGAAGGGACAAGTGATTTTGAAATAAGGAACAGCAGGTTAGGGAAGAGTGGTTAAAGTCAGGAGTGCAGGGACTTGGGGTGTCTGGAAGGAAGGAAGCTGAGGGCTGGACAGATTTTAAGCCAGAGGACTCACACACATTCTCTCTTCTTCTCCCAGCCTCACTCGAACATAGCCGCTAGAACACGGCAGCCAAAGGACGGGAACAGCCCGGATGCTCCTCGGCAGATGGACAGGTAATCAGCTGAGCCCATCCCGACGGGGCAGCACTTCCCTGTGAACAAGAGCGCAGCCGCGTGCTGCCCGCGATGGACCTCAGAGACACCGTTAAGTGAGAGAAGCCGGTCCCAAGGGCCTCTTGATTTGTGACTCTACCTCATGAAACACCCGGAGCAGGCAAACCTCGCAGAGGCAGGGGCTGCCAGGGCTGAGGGAGGGTGGGGAGGGCTCACTGGGAGGTGAAGGGCGGGTCTGGAACCAGGGAGGAGGGATGGATCCGCAGGACTGGGAGTGTCATCACGGCCACCAAGTTGTCCTTGAAAATGGCTAATTTCACCTGGATAGAAACAAGCTCCCTGTGCACCGCGCTCCTTCAGTGGTCAGAGCAGCAGTGTGGCCGTGGCCCTCTGTAGGGCAGCCTGCGCCCACCCAGCCCTGATAGCCAGGCCGGTTCCCCTTGGAGGCCACCCTGCAGACCTCCGTCGAGGGAAGACTCTTCTCCCCTGGAAAGTGGTTATTCCAACTTGACCCACTTGACTCTATAAATCACTTTCTTGAAGGCGAGAGAATAAAGGGCGAAAGTTACTCCTTTCTTGCTCTTGTAATTGCTGGGATCAATAGGCACGATTGATTGGAATTGAGAAATAGTCTCCAGGTAACATTTAGGAAGAATCATTGAGACGGGCACACTCGAAGTGACCGTCTGCTGCCCTCCACGGGGGGGACAGCCTTTGGGATTCTAACCACCTCCGCCAGCCGAGAGGCCAGGGTTGGCAAGGCGGGAGTGTAGCCTGCATGTGTCAATCATCTGGAAGGGCCCTGGTTGCTTCTGCTTGTCAAAGTGGCAGTCAGATGGTCATGCCTTCAAGCCAGCAGAGAGGCTTCCACGCCCTGACCCCAGGCTGAAGGACAGGGACAGTGTGAGGAAGCGGTTCATCCCTGACATGCCGGGGAGGAGTCACAGTGCAGCCTCTGAGCTTGGGCTGCCCTGGGTGCCCTGCTTGCGCCTGTCCTTCAGGCAGAGACTCAACTGCAAGGTGGTGAATGTGGCCACTGCATCTAGAGACGGAGGCCCTGTGCACCGAGTCTTTGTCTGGGGCACCAAGCCGGGCGTCGTGAGGCAAGGATGTGTGTCCATCATGGGGGCGGGGAACAGCTGGTCTCAGAAGAGATGCCAGGTTCCAGCCCACTACCTGGGGAGCGATGCTAAGGGAGAAAAAACTGCTGTTGACTCTGAATATCTTGCTTTGGTTAGACAGCTCATCAATAGGATTGGGGGACGGGATTGATCTTTTACTTATAATGCAGAACATTCAATGGATGGCAAAAATGCTTTTAAAAGGGGCCCACGGAACACTTTGAAAATATTAATTAGCGTGTTGAAGCATTCTGCATAGCATATCATAGTGAGACTGCTCCAGGGGGTTGCTTGGGATGAATTATTAATAAGAATCCCTCTCTCCCTGCGCTTCCCACCCTGATGGTATGGGCGTTGGCGTGGGTGGGGGTGTCTGTTAGACTCATTTGCTGCTCATTGTACGCAGTGGGGAGCAGATTGTGCCACTGGGGTCACACGTGTGTGAGGCCCACGTGTCCAGAAGAGGAGACACAGCCCAGTGCACCAAAAGCACCCAACCAACAGCAATGGCTAGACAGAGTCACTGCTGTGAACAGCTGTGCTGGGCTTGGTTCTGTGCACGCCGACCGGAAATCAGATGGGCTTGGCTTTGGGGTGTGAGCTTAAGGTTTCTTAAGGATTCAGGTTTGATGGAGAGGATGGAGTTCAGGAAGCAGCAGCTTTTTGGAATGGTCAGAGAAATCCCAGTGGCTTCCTTCCTCTGACCCCTACTCTGCCCGTGGGAGCGGTGAAGACCCTAGGCCCTTCCAACCTGGCACCACCGTGTGAGCTGAGCAGCTGCACGAGGCTGTGAGGCTCACCCACATGTAGTGCCCCAAAGAGCCACAGCTTAGGGTTCCAAGCTGGGGAGGTCTGCACTCCCCTGTTTCCAGGCCAGGATTTGTAGAGATGTAAGCAAACAAGCAAAGGCGTTTTACTTTAAAATCGCAAACAGATTCAGCCCAAATCATAGATGTGCTTGCAGGTGTGCAGCCCTGAACAGTGAGGAGGGGAGGCAGCTCTCCCAGCCTCTCTACATGGGTGATAGGCCAGAGTGTCCTTTGGAACCCCTTCCGCAGCAGCTCCCAGTCCCCTGGCTTTTGTTCCTTCCTCCCCCCTCTCTTTTATTCTTAGATTTTATGGACATCATTTTTTTTTTTTAGCTTTAAAAATTATGTGCAGGTATCAGATTTCTGAAAAAAAGTAAAAAACGGTTTCTGTGATGACCGGGGTGTTCAGCACAATGGGAACACGGGACGGAAGGTGCAATGGAAGATTTTCTACTTCAGTGTCATCGGTGTCTGCTGTTTGCGGGGTGTAACAGACACGGCCGCCCAGGTTCACAGTGAGTGGCGGGCTGGGTTCTCTGCCTGTGATGACCTGCGCAGGCCACACCAACGTGTTGCCTCTCACAAGCTCGAGGTGTCCCGGACTGTTTTGCTTCCCCTCCGGGAAAACCACGTACCACAGCTTACCTGGACGTTTCCTGCTGACCCCTCCTGCAGGGAGTGTGGTGGAGGGAGGGCAGCACGTCTCTGGGGTCTCTGAGTCAGCCCAAGAACCCCTCTGCTGCCATGGAGCGGTTAGGACAGACGGGCTTCTGGAGACGGTCCTCAGACACCTGCCGGGATTACTGGTCTGTGGTCAACTGAGGACTATTTTAAGCAGGTGGATGACCTCTAGACCTTCAGAGGCAAACTTCTCTCTCTCCATCTTTTTCTCCCAGTGTCTTTCCCTATTGGGGTCGGGGGGCAGGGGTCGGGGGAGACCCAAGGACCAAAAAACAAAACACAAAACAAAAAAATCCCCAAGCCCTTCACAACTGAAGAGCTCTAAAGTGTCACAGCCCTGGTGTGATATTATTTTATTTAATCCATGTCATCAGAATTAAGTCCAGTCCTCCAAGAGGAAAAATTCACTCTGCAAACTGTTAAAACAGTATCTGGCCTCCTCCCGGTGGCCTCTGATAAGGCACTTGCCTTCTGGAGAGTGTGACAGGGTCGGCCAGTGGCAGGACCTGCTGTGGGGTGCTGAGCGAGGACGGGAAAGGACACGGCGCCTGCACTGGGCCTCGCGGTGCCACCTAGCTCCCGGCAAAGGCATCTGCAGGGCGCAGAGCCGGGTTCAGAGGGACCTGCTGGAAATTTGGAAGTTTTATTTCTTATTTATTTTTTGGAGGTGAGGTAAACACCCCACGCTGCCAAATCATAAGCAGAAAGGAACCACGTTTGGCTTTTGTTATCGGCGGAGAGAATTAAGGTTATTTTTTTCCTTGACTTTTTCTTCTCTTTCTTCCCCAGCCCGCGCCTTGGCCGGCTTCCAGGTCAGGTAATTACATTCTGTCTTCCTAAATCCCCTCGCAGCTCCGATTGGGCAAGCCGCCCCCCACTCCCCTCCTGAAAGCCGATGTGCGGGGTGCCTGGCATCTAATGGGGTGGCATTCCAGTAGTGGGTCCCAGGTGTCCTGCCGAGGTGCCCTGGCGCCTCCTGCGCGGGCGGGCGTGTGCAGGGAAGCAGTATTATTTATTGCTCTTTTCCGTCAGCAGCTGCCAGCTCGAAACTATCTCTGAATGACATTTTAAATATGAAGGCCAGGGTCATTAGGATGATTAGAAACAAGGGTCCATTTTGTTCACCTTTAGAATTATTGGGTGGCTGAAAATGGAGTCGCAGCGAGAGGAAGGAGAGGCCTCCCGCGGCCCGTGCTCAGCTTCCGTCAGGGGCACCTGGGTTTGTTTTCTTTTTAATTCGCTTTTTTGTTATCTCCTGATTAAAATTAAGGAAGATTTGGCCTTTGTTCTTGCTTTCGTTTTTAAAGGATGAATGGAAATAGGAGAGTTTTCTCTTTGTCGGCATAAAATCCTATCACCTTTGGAAAGAGTCTCAAATTCAATGCCTTTTAGGTTAATTCTCCATATATTCACTGTGCATGCTCCATGTACCAAACCTTCCTGAATAGCTATTTGGCCACATAAGCATTTATTGTTTTTATCTTTTTCATTAATATTTATTTTAATTATGTACATCAAGGTGCTTTTCAAAACCCAATGGAGGTGACTCCTATAAAATAGTATCTGTATTGAAAACTGAAGGGGAAGATAGCATGCCTGTTTGTGCAATATGCGATAATGTCCTTGGTCAAGAGCTGATTTTAGTGAAAACTGAGTTCCCCATTTGTTCGATTGAAATAAATAAGCACCACAAAATAGAATTTAGGAGATATATCTAAAGAAAAAAAAGAGAGCCTCTGACACATGAAAATCACTTTTTGCTTTAAAGAGAACCATCAGGTAAAGACCCTTTCCCTGACTGCCACTGCAGATCTAGGAACCTGCACTTCACCTCGAGCCCAAGGCCTCCAAAGAGGGCTCCATGCTGCTGCCACCGGAAGGGACCAGGTGGCTATTGTGCTTTGGCTCTGCCTGAGCTCTTCCCCCCCGCCCCCCCGCCACACCTTTGAAAAGCACCTTTAATTTCTGTTTTCTGCTACCTGTGATTTTCCCAGCTCTGCAACCTTCTGCCACTAGGTGCCACAAATTGATGGCACTCTCCATTTGTGCAGAATGGCCAAAGCCACACTGAGGGACAAGACTATCTGCCTGACATTAGGCCTCATCATCCTGCATTTAGACAATAATTTATTTTTCCCTTTTCCCTCCCCACAGGATCATTCCTTTACTGCACAGTCAAGGCAAACGTGAAGTACCACTTCAACCTGGTGCCCTCACTGGGGCTTGTAACTCTAGTGACTTGCATTTTTTCCTAATTACAGGAAAAATAGCAAATTGGCACACGTTGGGAAGTGGATACACCCCCTCTGATTTACAAGGAAGAGTGTGGGGTGACTTTATAGCTCAGGAATTCAGTGAAATGAATTTATGGTTAGAAAAGTTCGCGTGCTTAATGTGACGAAGGTACTTTAACTTTTAACATGCTTCTCTGGTGAAGCTGAGTGGGACTCACAGGGAAGTGGCTGTCTGCAGCTGCTGCAAATGGATTTATCCCCAGATAACAGCTGGAGCTGCAGACCAAATTCTTGGGAAGAGACGGTTCCTTAAATGTGGTGCTTGCAGCCGGCCGTCTGTGTAGTGTTTGTGCACCTCCTGCTGTGCGTGTAAGTGGGGGACTCCATGGCCCAGCTTCCTGGGCAACTGGGGTAATTCTCCTCTGCTCACAGGACCTGTACTGCCTCAGCACCACATGTCACCAGGATGGGCAGTCATCTCTGAACTCCCTCACGGGAGTGCTGCAGCTCGTGTCAACTCCTTTCTCAGCATTTGTGAAATCCTTGAGTCAAGTAATCTGTGTGTGACATCATGGGGTCGGTGTCCATGGCAATACCAATTTTTGTTTGGAAAATTTTATTTTGAGCATCAGCTGAGTATTGTGCATGGTGAGAGGATGGAGTTGCTCCCTTGGGGCCGTGTTTCTGGAATGGCAGAGGCACATCCCACCCTGATGCTGCACCGGCTGGGTGCTACCCTGCACAGTGGGCTGAACCCCACCCACACTGGCCCACGTGGACACGCATTTCTTCCTTCAGAACGGATTCCTGAGCACCTATTGTGTACAAAGCAGAGCGGGTAAGACAGAGCTGGCCTCCACCCTCCTGATCCACAGTTCACTGAGAGAACTGGAGTGTAAAACAAGGATTGCAGAGAGGTTTCCCGCTGCAATGGGCACCAGAAAGAAGAGACACAAGGAGTTGGAGGAAAAAAAAACAGGTCACCTGCTGTGGGGTGCCCCTGGGAGGGGCCACGGGGAAGTGGAGGCCTTTGACCCCCAGCCCTCTCTGCTAGGTCCGTCTCTGCTTCCCGCCTGCTGAAGGAATCTGGGTGGGCAGAATGGAAGGGGAGGAGGCCCAGGTTTGTCAAAGCATGAGGCTCAGCAGGGTTCAGCCACCATGGAAGCCTATCCCTCCCCAGGCGACCAGGCCAGCTGGCCAGTGGGCTCTCTCCCACTGAGGCTGTGCACTGTTTGGGGTACGAGAGCTTGTGTTGATTTGTCCCTGTCTTGGACCCTGACATTATGATCCATGCAGTGCTCCCCCTCCCCTGGCTTCCACGCTCAGGGCAAGTGCAGATCCCCACTTGGCAGTCTGTGCCCACCTTGCCCCAGCTGTACCCTCCTCCTGGATGCTGCCCTAAATGCATGAACCCAGGCTGCGCTCGCTGCCTGCAGTGGGGTTGGGTGGTCCATCTTCTTACAGCTTCAAGCCTTGACGTTTGGGTTTGCTCTTCTTGTGGGTAGTTGGGCATGCGGGCAGGGAAGTCTCAACTCTTCTCTCATTTATGTGGCTTTCTCCTGGAGAAAATACTCACAGATGAATTCAATCTAAAATATCAAGAGAACATATTAACTCGCTTTAAAAGATAACTGCATTTTATGAAAATACTTCAGTTGTTTCTAATACAATTTAGAGATTAAAATATTAAGATAAAAACTCAGAGACGGGGCTGGGGTTACAGCTCAGGGGTGGAGCGCTTGCCTAGCATGTGTGAGGCATGGGGTTCGATTCTCAGGGCCACATACAAATAAATTAAAGTCCATTGATAACTAAAGAAAAAGTAAAAAAAAAGAAACTGAATATTCCTTAAAAAACAAAAACAAACAAAAACCCTCAGAGACAGACAAACAGGAATGACACAGAACTCAGGAACAAGGAGGTCTGTCACGAGTGACTAATTTCCTTTTTCTGTGATTCCAAGGATGTTTACCGAGCACACACTGTGAGACAGGTGCTGTGACAGCCTGTCCCTCTGTCCATCCCTTCCTCTCTTGCCCTCCCGCCCCTCTCCCTTGCGTGGAGCGTTGTGGGGCAGCCGTGTCCGTGGGGTGGTGCAGGGTGCTGGGGTGCTGTGGTGGTGGATGTGGTTCCTGATTCTGTCAAGCACAGCAAGAGATCTGGGGGTGAAGACTTGGCCACACCCACCTGTCACAGGGGCCCTGGTGCAGCTTCTTTGGGGTGCAGAGGAACTTCTTCTGGGAGCCTCCCCAGCAGTGGTGGAATCTGATTTCGGCCTTGAAAAGTGAGTGGGATTCTGCCAGAAGGCAAGGGAGGAGAGGGCCCCTGGACAAGGAAATGAACGCAAGGCCCAAAGATCGGGGCCAGGCCTTGTGTCTGGGTCTTCAGGGTGGCTCTGAGGGCAGCCCTCTGCTGAGCCCTCTAGAACCTCCCATGAACCCCACACACTTGCCAGCCACTTGTATAATCCACCCGGAGTCTGATTTTGCTCTTTTCGGGAGAGTTACAATTCTATAAGCAAACACAGGTGCACGTCAAGGTCTTCACCACAAGAGTCCACGATCCTGGGTGAGAGGAAGGGGGCTTTGGAACAAGGGACCCTGGTGGCACCTGCCAGCTCACGGAGGAAGGCAGCACAGCAGGGAGCCATTGCACTGACCCAGAAGTTCATCCAGTAAAGGTCTGTGGGACCCTGACAACCAGAGTTGCATCCCACCATCCCGCCATTTTGAGTGAATTTGTGCCTCAGGGAGAGGGGGCCTTCACTAAGATTTGCTCTGCCCTTTATCATGTACTGGGCTGTACTGGACTTTGCAGGGAGATCTTGGTAGAATTTGCTTGGCATCCCAGAAAAAATAACTTTCACATTTGGTTCACATTTAAAAAGATCACGTTCACCTTAGTTGCTCCACCTTAATACCCAAACTCACGCATCTCTCCACCTCCGTGATGAGCTGAAATACTTTTCATTTTCTTTCCTGTTTATGTTTGATGCCAGCCTGTGCCTTGCATGAAGGCTGCTCCCTCTACCGGCACTACAGTCTCAGCGGTTGGGCCTTCTGCCGCTGCACAGGGGGAAGGGCCAGCGCCCCCAGGTGGCAGAGCCCTCTGCTTCCCGGGTTCTAGTCCACTCGGCACAGCTGCACTGCCTCCATCTTGCAGGTGCCTCTCCCTGGTCAGAGACAGGCGCTGGGCCTTTCTGCACCCTGGACTACACTTGGGGCTGCTGGATCACACCCAGTTCACACAGAACCTGAGCCAATCCCGAGCCAGCCAGCCACCAGGCTGTTCTTCGATGTTGAGTCATGAGGGCTGCAGAGAAGCAGCCTGACTCTTCCCACGGTAGCTTGGCCCTGATGAAACATTGCCATCTGCAGTGATGGGACATTGTGCACTGAGGAAAGCAGACCTTGCGGCTCAGGCATCCCGTTCTGCCGGCTGTCAGTGACCAGGTCTCCCCCACCTTCTGTGCCTCCTCCCCACGTGGAGCCAGACAGAAGCCAGCAGGAAGAACGTCCAGCCTCAGACTGGGTCCACCTGGTGAGCCACAGGTGTGTCAGACTTCACACTTCCAATCAGAGCCTTCTGCTTCTAGAGGCCGGGGCTGCCCCTGAGTCCTGGCTGGGCATCTTCTTTCCTGGCTGATGACCAAGGGGATCCAGACCTGGACACACCAATGATGGTCTGCTCGCTTGGCCCTGTGGGCCACTGGGTGGAGGAAGGTGGAGGGAGGCATGGGTGCCACCAGCCCCGGGTGCCACAGCAGTCCCCAGCAGACTTGTGCCCTGTGCTGAGGGGCGCGGTGGCTCACAGGTGTGTGGACAATGAGGCTTGAGGCGGCTCTCCAGAACCAGCAGGAGGAGGCACTCTGTGGGGTGGAGCCACTGACCGTGGGGACAGTGGCCCTTCTCAAGCAAGGACCCATCTAAGGGGTCAACCATGAGCAGTGAGGAGGATGGTGGTGTGCAGAGCCTTGGCTTCTGGGAACACTGCAGCTTCTACAGAGCAGGGCGCTCGCTGGGGAAAGGAGGCGGGAAGGCGAGGGCCCAGAACCCTCAGTGTGAGTGGGTGGCATCCTCCTGGGTTGTGGGGACAAAGTAACATGGGTACAGCCATGCCCCACTCTGACAGCTGCCTGTTTGGTGACAGGAACCTGCTGAGAGCATGGGGCTCCTGCTTGTTGAGTCAGGCATGGCAATTGTCACCTCCAAGAAACCCAAGGAACAGCAGGGTTTGTGTTCATGTCATTCTGGTGAGTATTGTGGTTGGCCTGAAGGAGAGGGGCTAGGCTGGCTTCTGTCTGTCCCTGGGGTCTGTTGGTCCCAAACGAAGCTGTCTAGTTGACACCAGTCTTCATCTATCAGGTGTCTGCTCTGTGGTTGAGCACAGGGGCACTGAAGAGTCAGAGACAAAGGAAACCTGCCCCTGGTCCCTGGTCCCAGGTTTGGAGGGATACTCATCTGGGCAGGGATGACTCAGTGCAGTGGGTTGCAAGGGCAGTGGGTGCTGGGTAGTTGACCAACTCAAGGTCTTTGCCTTGTCCTAAAATTGGGGATTGGGCTACAGGCCCTCACCCACATATTTCAAAGCAGTGCTTGACTCTGGAGGAGAGCTGGTTGACATGAAGGAGTCAGGATAGAGGGGGTTTCCCACCATTTCTGATGGCCTCCTTCCGAGGCTCAGGGAAACGGAGTGGTAGGAACCCACATGTCAGCTGAGTGTGGTGACACATGCCTGTAATCCCAGCAACCTGTGAAGCTGAGGCAGGAGGACCTTAAGTTTGAGGGCAGCCTGGACAACTTAGGAAGATCCTGGGTCTGAGTAAAAAATAAAAAGGCTGGGGGTATAGTTCAGTGGTGGAGTACTATGTTCAGTTCAATCCCCAGAAAAGAAAAAGAAACCCATGTGTCAGCTCGGGTGCCTGGGTGGGTGGCCCAGAGCCTCTGCAGGGAGCAGGTTCTGCAGAGGAGCTGAGCATCAGCCCCCTCCTTGGAGCCAGCACAGGGTGTCACTGACCAAGACAAGCACTGTCACCTCATCCTCCTTGGAACTCAGGACAGAATGGGAACTGTGCGGGTCAGGAGGGTACTGGCTGGAAACCCGAGAGCACACTGTCCTCCTGGCCATTCTTGGGGTTGCTGGGCTATCCTCCATGACTCCCAGGGTCTTGGTAGTCCAGGGAGAAGGAAGAGAAAAGAGAAAGTGAAGTTCATGGACCATCAGCTGGTCAGGAGGCACAGAGAAAACCAAACCAGAGTTTACCCAGGGAAGGTGACTTGAAAAAGATCACAGTCCTGACTTTTAAGCCTGGACAAGATATGCTTACTGGTGACAACACGCAGCAGAAATCAAAGCGGAAGGGACAACTCGACTTGTCAGGATTTTAAAGAGTGTGCCCGCTGAATGACACTGGCGGTGTATTCCAAGAGCTGCATGTGCAGGGAAAGGCTGGACTCCATGCCCTCGGCATGCAGACCACAGCCATCCCTGATACCATGAAGTATTTGAGAACAAGGAATGTAGTCCACAATGACAGGGACAGAAACAGCCCTACAAAGAGTAGCCCTGCTTAGGTGCTACTCTTCAAAGTGAGCAGTCCTGGGGTTTGGTTTTGTGAGCAGGTCAATGTTTCCAATTTTTCTGAATTTTATCATTCACTCATTTGCTGTCATTGTTTTTCATCAGCGGAGGTGGCCAGGAATGCCTGTCTCTTGGGGGGGCCGGGCGTCAAGTCTCTTGAGAGGGATTTAAAACAGACCTGCATTGTTCTTTCATAGGTGGGCAGGTGAGACAGCAATGTCCATCTCTTGTGGATCACGATTTATACTAAAGAATAAGAAATTTTAACCTTGGTGCAAGAATCAAATTGCTCATGAAAATAGCGGAGTCTTCCAAACTCCAGCACAGATGCACCATCAGCAACGTTTGCACACACACAGCCGAAGTGCTAAAATTCTAAGGGAAATAAACATTCGGCACATCTAGCACGTGCCTGACGGTTGACGTCTTGGTATTGGGGTTTTCCATGTTCCGCTAAACTTCATCATGATCTTTTTGGGAAGAGCCAGCTAATTTTCCCAATTATGCCGACACTCCCCCTCCGCTGCCCGCTCCGCTGTCCCCTCCGCAGTCCATTCTGCGGAACCGCTGAGCACGGAGCTCAGGCCTCTCAGTCTCTCAGGTGAAAAAGGAGGCTCCCTCTTGGGCAGCGCGGGGCTCTGGGGAAGACAGCTGGTAGCTCTCAGTCAAAAACGGACGTCCTGGGTCTCAATCGCCTCGTCGTTGAGGTTCAGCTGTCCCCGGGAGGGCTGGACCAGCGCGTGGGCCCTGGCTGTCTCTGGGCGCGGGGACATCCTGGAGCCTGCGTTTTCAGCTCTTGTGGTCACCTGCAAACCAGCGCGGCCCTTCCCAGCTCTCGGCCGCCCTCCCGCTCGCGGTAAGGCCAGCCAGGTGCACCCCGGGCGCGCCCCTGGGGAAGCCCGAGGCCCAGCCACGCCGCCAGCATACACGCGCCCGCTGCCCGCCGGCCGCCGCC